ACCATAACCACTAATAAAAAAATTTGACCTTAGTTTGTTATAGTTAATATTGATATTGTTTAGTTGTCATTTACTGCCTGTTTTCTCTTTTGACTAAGAAAATTTTTAAGTGTTATAACCATCAACGGAAAATTCTTAATCTTACCAACAGTTTTACAGTGAATTGATCAAATTAAATTTTTGATGATGAAATGCAAAAGAAAAGTTTTAAAAAAAAAAAATTTTATTCTATTCTATTTAATCATACCTGACTTTTAGTTTCTAAAACTGTCTTAAACATATGCCTATGTGTTCGGTTTTGTATACTTTTTCGTGCACTTCTGAGCGCTTAACAGACGTTTGTCACACTCCATTTCGCAAATTACGCTAAAGGTCCTGTTTCACTCCACTAAATGTTGTGCAAGAACAGTTAATTTTTTTTTTTTTTTTGTTTGGCAATGCGAAATAAAATTTTACAGATTTTGGTAACTTATAGGTAATCTAATTGATCTTTATTCGACAATAAAATTAAAAAACGGTAAAAAAGTGAAAAAAAAGGAGCAGAAAAAACGAAAAGCAGACGATGATGATGATGATGATGATGATGATGGTGATGACCATGTTGATGTTGATGTTGATGTCTGTGATGAAGATGAAGATGAAGATGATGATGGAAAAGATTGAATGTTGGGAGATGATGAAAAGTAGCAATGAATAATTGCCCATCATCATTTTTACCACTGTTTAACACCTCAAAAATGCAGTTTGCAAAATCCTGTTTTAATTACAGATTTTAGGTTTTTCAGTTATTTATACTCAAATTGTTTAATTAGCTTCTTACTTATTCTGTTTTCTGCTATCTATCGTCATTACTTTTTCATCAAGTTAACATTCTCCTTTTTGCTGTTTTTAACATCATTGATTTTCACTGATTTGTCTTGCTATTAGACTGCACTTAGTGACAGTATAATGCTTTCTAACTAAAAGTTTTATGGCTGAGGTCAGATATTTTTTGACAACACAGAGAAAAAGCAACAAAATATTTCCTAATTCTTCAGTATAAATTTACTGTTGCATCTTGTTCAGAAGTGTTCATTTTTAAAATAACTGTGAACAAGGAGAAAAAAGACAATTAGAAAGTTTCCTTAATTGGCCAGATTTGAATGTGAAAAAAAGATGAAAAAAAAGGCATTGAAGCAAAAAAAAAGGCGAGAAACAATTGATGGAAGGCAAAAAGGCAATAAAGATGATTTGCGATTGATGTAACAAATCTCCTTCTTACAACAGGGCAAAAATCAGTTGTTAAAACTGATGAACTTGGCCTTATAGTCTGAATGCTGAAGCAAAAACTGAACATTTTTTCTTTTCTTCAGTTGTCACATCAGTGTTTTCACTACAGTTTTTGTGCTAAAAATCAATTTATTTTTCTGTTTTTGTCTCTCTTAACCAAAAAGAAGCTTTTTTGTAGAGCATCAACAAGAGAAAAAAAGAACCGGAAAACTGAGACATTCTTTTGTCAAAAGTCCTAATTTTGGGTAATTATCATTGTGATGTAACTGTGGTATGGGGGTGTAAATGCCAATCATACATAAATATGGATATTATAGATTGTCTTATAACACAGAAACAATTTATGTCCATTCGTTTCCTATTATAGAATTTTTTTGGCATTGAATATCATTAGAGACAATGTTTTTTTATTAGCAATTATCTACGAATAAACCTTAAACCTTTTTAAAGCTTAGATAAAAGTAAATAAAAAATATAAACACAACAAGCGGAACATTCATAAATGTATGTTAGCAGCAATAAGACTGCGTGAACGAAACGGTAAATAGACAACCGATTTTTCATATCTATTTGCTTTGTCTAAGAAAGCAGTAAGAAAAAGTAAGAAGAAAAAAAACGCAAGAACTGTTGTGTAAAATCCCTGGAAAGTTGTTATACTTAAAACAAAAGATGAAAAACTTAACAGTAGTAAAGAAGGAAAAGGAATACAGAAGAAAACATGACGATAAGTTGCTATTTAGTTGAGCAAATGTACAAAACCAGTAAACTGTTGAACCGATAAACGATGTTTCTTTGTTACAGTATGGATCAGTGAGGATTCATTAGTAATTTTTAGGCATTTTTTGCAAGTTGAAAAAATCAAGAAAGAAAGCAAAAAGAAGAATACAAATTTTTTACTCGTTTCTGACAGTGACAACAACAAACACCAACAAACTGTATATAACTGAGATCGACAAAAAAAAAAAA